AACAGAATTGAATGCACAGCAATGGAATGAAGTTTTCAAATTAACACATGAGATGACAAATATGAGCACAGTGGAGATTATTTATAAATGTTTAATTACACCAAACGTAGCTTACAGAAACCAAGTAGATACTTCATCTCTGTGCTGGAGAGAATGTGGAGAAAGGGGTGCAATGGCACATATATGGTGGGTTTGCCCAAAAAATACAGGATTATTGGAGGGAAATAATCCAATACATTCAGGAGATAGGTGGGATAACTGTACAGAGAGATCCATGGAGGTGTTTATTTTATAACTTTGAGCTTTCAGCGAAACTATATAAAAATAGGGTACTCTATCACTTAATTAGTGTAGCTAAGTGTTTATCCCCAAGTTCTGGCAGACTCCTAAAGCACCAAGAATCAAGGAATGGATAAATACAGCTGAAAATATTTATAGGATGGAGGAGCTATGTCACATGGAGGAGGAAAAATTCAGGAAAACGTGGTGTAGTTAGAAATTTAAATCCTCTGAAGGATATATGGAACTAGTCAGAATTCAGGGGAAGTTTAGAAGTCAGGAGAGAGCCTTATTTGAGAATTTGAGAGAGATCAGTAAACATGAGAGAGGATATAGTTCAGGAAAGAGGATGTGGATGGGGGAAAATGGGTTGGGGGGAGGGTGGAAGGGTGGGGGTAATGATATTGGGGTAAATGGAATGTGTATACGTGAAATATTTTTATAAATGTGTTGTTGTTCTTTTTGTACTGGAAAATCAAACAAAAGTTTAATTAAAAAAAAAAAAAACTTGCACTGACTACCAATGCTCAGGACATGGCAGGCAGTACATACGGAGCTGATGAATCACATGCTGCAAACTAGCTGTGTATTGGGCTAATTATTTAGCGTATTTTAAACAATATGTTCGCTTTTTTCACTTTTATCCTCTCTATTCTGCTTTTGCTATATTAGATTCATTTTACACAATATTATTATCTAAATGTATATATTATAATGATAAACATATTATACTGTATATATTAAGTTTATAATTAAATAAACCTTTCATTTTGTTTAAAGAACAATAGTTGTGCGAACCCTATTCTCTCCTTATGTACCATAGACGGAACCTGCCTGTCTATTGTGGCCATTTGTAAAGGAAATAGTCTGAAAATGACTTAAAGTATATGTAAACCCTTGTAAAACAACCCATTCAGTTTAAAATAGAAATGAAAGTGTGTATAGATTTTTAAAAAACAAACATTATAAACACTTTTTCCACCCTTTTTTACAAGTGATCACATTCCCTCTGTTCTGCATAGGAGCTGGGGGAGAAACACCGATCTTTCCAGTGAAAGTGTGTCCCTCCAGTGGCTAATATGGCAAATACAAACATCATTGTATCTTGGCTATACAGAGGATTGATTGTCCAATCAAATGACACATTTGTCACATGTTAGCCATTATAACTTCGTATATGGTTCTAAAATCATGGGATATGTATGAATTATTCGGTAAGTGGCCCTCTATCAACCTTTGAAGCTTATGCTTTTGTTTTGATGGTTCATATATGATACCACATATGTAACCCATTGGAATATTTTGTTATGAACATGAATTTGTCTATTGTAGGTGTTATAAAATTCTCCTGAAGAAGCCTGAAACAGGCAAAACATGTTGAGAAAAACGACACCGGAAACTAAGTTTTGAATGAGCATAATCAATAATGTCTTGATACTGAAGTGTATTTCTTTTATTCTTATTTTTAATTGATTAACAATAAAAATAGTACATTTTAGCTCTTCTTGTTGCTATATCATTGTTTGGCACCTTAAAAATCTCGTTATCTCCCCTGAATGTGGGGAGATCTTTCTTCCTTTTTCCCTTTTTTCCTCTCTCTTTCTTGTTATTTGTTTAAATTTGGGATGTGGTGCCATTGAGCTCCACTGTGAATATCCTAACTCTTTCCCACTGAAAGGCTGGGGGGAGCTTTAAGGACAAGTGTGATCAATGGAGGAGAGCAGCCAGAGTTCCCAGCATAGCTAGAGAACGGATCAAGGTGTGTCCTGCTGCTTAGTGTGGTCAATTTTTAATAGGATAGCAGAAGGACTGACAGGAACACTTGGGATTTCACACAAAGTAAGCAATGCAAAGAGAATAGGATACTTTTTCAAATAAGCACATGATAGAGCAGGCACATTTTAAAATATGAAATGTTGGGTTTGCATACTCTTTAACCCCTCTAGCGGTATTCCCAAGTGTAGTTCAGGGGTAACTTTCAGTACCAGAAGTGGTAACCCCAAGCAGCACTCGGGATTACACTGCAGAGTTGCTCTGGGATCCCTCCAGCTCTTACCTTGTCCTTCGCTCCTGCGATGTCCCCCCTGCAGCGTCCCCGGCCATGTCCTCCGGCTGATGCCGGCATCCATATTCCGGGTTCTGTTTCCTGCAAACGTCGGGACGTATGGGACATATGGGGGACGGAACTGGCGGGAATTTCAAAAATGTAAAAATTTGACATTCACTCGGTACACTAAAATCTGTATATATTGTTACATTATTGTATCAAACCATCTTACATACATTTTGTGCTTTGTCCTGTGCCCTGCCTGCATTTTTACTGTTCTTTCTGCCTGGAAACTGAGAAACATCCTGTCAGGAATGGACTTGCCAGTAATGGTGGAATCACCTGCCTTGTGGGCTGCAGTACCAGGGCTGGCCAGCGGGTGCTCCCGGCAATCAGAGTCTCAACCCTGCAGCCAGCCAAACATCTGAAACTGATCATGCAGGTGTATTTAAGGGATGGCCAGACCTGCAGTCTCTGCCTTGGTGTGTGTTTTTCCTGGGCCCTGTATCTTGTTCCTGCATTCCTGTTCCTGTTCCTGTTCCTGTGATGTCTGATTCGTTGCTGACCCTGCCTGATTCCGGACCTCTGCTGACTTCTCCTGTTTCATCCCTGGCTTGTGACCCCGACCATTCTCTGCCTGACCCCCTGTTCCTACCTGCCCGATTGTTATTGACCCGGCCTGCCTGACGACGCTTGCATTGTATATATTGTTATCTGTGGGTGGTTTGGTTTGGTTCGTTTGCACTGTGTTATGTTTTAGTATTGCACTGCGTTTATGTTTGTATTGTTAGTCTTTAATAAATTGTCTTATTGTTTATAACATATCTGAAGCCTGCGTTTCCCTGCGTCAGTCACATACCTCTGGTCACACCCCGGAGCCCTGACATTACACCAAGGCCAATCCTGACCAGAAGTGGCTGCACAGGGAAGCCATCTTGGCTTGTTGCTGGGAAGGATGGATCTTGATGAGGTTGTGTATTTATCTCTGCTAGTGTTTGATGACAGAGAGTATGCTTATCAAACTCTGAAGGAGTATCCCAGGGATGAACTGCTAGAATGTATACAGATCGCTCATGTTCTAGTAGATCAGGGCACAGAATTCTCTGAGGTGCAGCCATTGATTCAGGTTTGTGCTGAGTTGGTTTCATCTGGTACCCCCGAAATGCAGGGATGAATTTTTGCCGCCATTTAGTGCAGACCAGGTAGAGTCCCTGGTATGGTTATTAGAGGATGATGTGGATTACTTCTTGGAGCATTATGCTGCATGTTCACTACAGGTATTAAGGGATTGTATAAACGCAGTGCAGTCTTTGGTCAGACAGGCTTTGTGTAAGCTGAGCTTTGTTCAACCCATACTGCAGACATAGTCAGACTTGTTGCACCCAGCCTCAGTCAGCTTGCAAAAACCCAGTCCTGCTTCAAATCTATTTCTTCAAAGCTCTATTCCTGCTTTCCCAACAGCACCTCCAGTTACAGCCCAGTATACCCTGCTATCTACCGCATGTCAGTACCCTGTTCCCACTCGCTGCACCTATCCTGCCTTTAACCCTGTAAAGCAGCCCTCTGTAGCAACTGTTCCCTCCCCTGTTCCATCCTCCAGCTCTTCTCTGTCTCCAGCTGCTCCATCCATTTACAAACCTGCGCTTACTTACAGTACTCCGGTAACTAAAACCAGGAAAAGGCGAAAGTTCTTTCCAACCAATACCATCCTGCCAGTATCCAAACCGGTCAGCCTCCCATCTGAGAACCTGCCTTCCATGGTGCAGCCTGGTGCCTCGGCGCCCACAATTCAGCCTGATGCCTCTACCCAGCCTGATGCCTCCATTCAGCCTGATGCCTCCATTCAGCCTGATGCCTCCATCAGCCCTGATGCCTCCACCCAGCCTGATGCCTCCACCCAGCCTGATGCCTCCACCCAGCCTGATGCCTCCATTCAGCCTGATGCCTCCATTCAGCCTGATGCCTCCATTCAGCCTGATGTCTCTACCCAGCATGATGTTTCTACCCAGCCTGATGAACTGATCCAGCCTGATGATCCTATTATGCCAGACGACTCGGTGCCTGCTGTTCCGCCAGTTGACTCGGTGCCCGCAGTCTTGCCAGACGACTCGATGCCCGCTGTTCCGCCAGCTCGATGCCCGCTGTTCCGCCAGTTGACCCGGTGCCCGCTGTTCCGCCAGTTGACTCGGTGCCCGCAGTCTTGCCAGACGACTCGGTGCCCGCAGTCTTGCCAGACGACTCGGTGCCCGCAGTTCCGCCAGTTGACTCGGTGCCCGCAGTTCCGCCAGTTGACTCGGTGCCCGCAGTTCCACCAGTTGACTCGGTGCCCGCAGTCTTGCCAGACGACTCGATGCCCGCTGTTCCGCCAGTTGACTCGGTGCCCGCGGTCTTGCCAGACGACTCGGTGCCCGCGGTCTTGCCAGACGACTCGGTGCCCGCGGTCTTGCCAGACGACTCGGTGCCCGCAGTCTTGCCAGACGACTCAATGCCTGATGACCCAGTGCCCGCGGTCATGCCAGTTGACTCGGAGCCCACTGTCGTGCCTGGTGACTCGGTGCCCACTGCCTTGCCAGATGACGCGGTGCCCGCTGGCGAGCCAAATGACCTGATGCCTGGTGACCCGATGCCCGCTGTCATGCCTGGTGACCCGATGCCCGCTGTCGTGCCAATTGACTCAGAGCCCACTGTCGTGCCTAGTGACTCGGTGCCCACTGCCTTGCCAGATGACGCGGTGCCCGCTGGCGAGCCAAATGACCTGATGCCTGGTGACCCAGTGCCCGCTGTCATGCCTGGTGACCCGATGCCCGCTGTCGGGCCAGACGATCCAATGTCTGATCCAGTGCCCGCGGTCATGCCAATTGACTCAGAGCCCACTGTCATGCCTAGTGACTCGGTGCCCACTGCCTTGCCAGATGACGCGGTGCCCGCTGGCGAGCCAAATGACCTGATGCCTGGTGACCCAGTGCCCGCTGTCATGCCTGGTGACCCGATGCCCGCTGTCGGGCCAGACGATCCAATGTCTGATCCAGTGCCCGCGGTCATGCCAGTTGACTCGGAGCCCACTGTCGTGCCTGGTGACTCGGTGCCCACTGCCTTGCCAGATGACGCGGTGCCCACTGGCGAGCCAAATGACCTGATGCCTGGTGACCCGATGCCCGTTGTGGTGCCTGATGACCCGGTGCCCGCCGCTCCGCCTGGGGGCCCAGTGTCTGCCGCCCCTCCTGGGGGCCCAGTGCCCGCCGCTCTGCCTGGGGGCCCGATGCCCGTCGCCCCCGCCTGGGGGCCCGATGCCTGTCGCCTCGCCTGGGGGCCCGGGTGCCTGTCGCCCCGCCCGGGGGCCCGATGCCTGTCGCCCCTCCTGGGGTCCCGGGCCCGCCGCTCCACCTGGGGGCCCGGTGCCCGCCGCTCCACCTGGGGGCCCGATGCCTGTCGCCCCACCTGGGGGCCCGATGCCTGTTGCCCCGCCTGGGGGCCCGGTGCCTGTCGCCCCGTCTGGTGGCCCGGTGCCCGACGCTCCGCCTGGGGGCCCGGCGCCCGCTGCTCCGCCTGGTGATCCGGTGTCCAGCTCGATGTGCCTCTGCCCGGAGTCCAGCTCGATGTGCCTCTGCCCGCAGTCCTGCCCGATGTGCCGCTGCCCGGAGTCCTGCCCGGAGTCCTGCCCGATGTGCCGCTGCCCGGAGTCCTGCCCGATGTGCCGCTGCCCGGAGTCCTGCCCGATGTGCCTCTGCCCGGTGTGCCGCTGCCCGATGTCCTCTGCCCGGTGTGCCCCCGATGTGCCCGATGTGCCGCTGCCCGGAGTCCTGCCCGATGTGCCGCTGCCCGGAGTCCTGCCCGATGTGCCTCTGCCCGGTGTGCCGCTGCCCGGAGTCCAGCCCGATGTGCCGCTGCCTGGAGTCCTGCCCGATGTGCCAGTCTTTGATATCCCGCCAGTTACCAGACCCGGGCGGTGGAACATTTTTCCCAGCTAGGACTGTTTGGAGCGTCCTGAGGCCGCTCCTTGAGGGGGGGGGGGTACTGTCAGGAATGGACTTGCCAGTAATGGTGGGACTCACCTGCCTTGTGGTCTGCAGTACCAGGGCTGGCCAGCGGGTGCTCCCGGCAATCAGAGACTCAACCCTGCAGCCAGCCAAACATCTGAAACTGATCATGCAAGTGTATTTAAGGGATGGCCAGACCTGCAGTCTCTGCCTTGGTGTGTGTTTTTCCTGGGCCCTGTATCTTGTTCCTGCATTCCTGTTCCTGTTCCTGTTCCTGTCTCTGTCTGATTCGTTGCTGACCCTGCCTGATTCCGGACCTCTGCTGACTTCTCCTGTTTCGTCCCTGGCTTGTGACCCCGACCATTCTCTGCCTGACCCCCTGTTCCTACCTGCCCGATTGTTATTGACCCGCCTGCCTGACGACGCTTGCATTGTATATACTGTTATCTGTGGGTGGTTTGGTTTGGTTCGTTTGCACTGTGTTATGTTTTAGTATTGCACTGCATTTATGTTTGTATTGTTAGTCTTTAATAAATTGTCTTATTGTTTATAACATATCTGAAGCCTGCGTTTCCCTGCGTCAGTCACATACCTCTGGTCACACCCCGAAGCCCTGACACATCCATGGCGTCCAAAAAGCATCCCTTTAGGTCAAAAGACCAGCTAGAGAACAGTGATAGTAAATTAGAACTACTTGCAGAATTGTGTGATAATGATTCGTGGGGAAATTTGTCATCAGACACTGAAAATTATTTTGCGACTTTGCTCAGTGATGTGCCAACTTGGCGCTTTATTTCAAATTTCAGTGTTTTTGGTTTGATTACGTTATTGAATTAAACTTATTATTATTATATTATTATTTTTTATGATTATTTATTATATTATAATTTATGATTTCGTGTTTCAAATTTTATAATACTCGGGATGTTTACTAGACTCTTGTTCGGACAGATTTCAGTGAGTTATCCTAAGAATTACAGGCCTACATTAACAAAACAACATATTTCCATTGAAAACAATGTACCGCTTTGAGCACAGAAATACTGACATAATCAGACCGCTATGGAGGTTAAGAAAGACTGAGGGTGCAGAGTAGGTGGAGATCTGAACAGAAGGACTGAAGTGAAGCAACCTTACGGAAGAAGTCAACCAGATCTGATGTCTTACCATGATGGGAATTTCTACTCCATGAGGCCTAAAGGCAGAAATATGTCTACAATTGGAGAGGCACTTGTGGAGGATCATTGAGCCTGAGGTCCAGTGGAGTCTTATCTGTGACTATCAAAGAAGGCGGGTTTAAAGGGGCTCACTGTCTGGCATGTGTCCCAGAAATAGTTGGTACTCATCTATGCTAGTAGAGGGCATCCGTTGTAATCATGAAGATCTAAATGTGGCCATATATGGATTGAAATTTCACTGGTTCAGCAGGGAACAGCTGGATTTCTATCCTTGTGTGGCTGCTGCCATTCAATTTGATCTAACCATCGACTTCTGTCGAACTGGTTTATTGGAATTGTTTTCTTGATCAGTGGCTGCAGCTACTGACCAATGAATCCTGCAGGGGAGAGTCCCTACTGTCAGAATACAATGTCTCAGTGGGGAAGATTCCTCTATCTACCTCTATTATGTGAATGGAAACAATCCATCTATGGCCAGCTTTACTCTTCTGTAGAACAACTACTTCTAAAAAGTATACCACTGCCCTCTTACTTGTATAGTACCTGCCATTTGATCCTACAAAATACATTATATATTAAAGAGGTATTAAATCCAAAACCAAAAATGTTATAAAGTATATTGCAGCTTACTGATCATTGTATGTGGTGTCTGCATTAGTTTTTTTTTTTTTGCTTCTTCCCCTGTTTTCACTTGGTGATCTGTCCAGTAACACACCTTCTGTATTAGCGTGCACCCACTCTGGATGAAGGAGCACATGGGGCACCTTTGAACAGCAGCATTGTCAGTCTGGGGTGAGGAGAGTGTTAAAGGTACTATCAGATTTAAAAACTTTAACAAACTAAAGCCAAACTCAAGCTCACACTTTATAATCAGTTACAGCAAGCAGTTTTCCCCTAAGGTTTTACATGAATAAATAAAAGCTGGTCATTGTAAGCACCCCTGTCAGTTGTAAATGGACTGTTTCATCTTGGTAAAATGATATGTCTTGAAGAGAGCTTGTTCTTTTGAAAATCAACAGACTTATCAGACGTATCTGACTCACCAGATGAAAGTAGAAGAAAGAAAGCCTAAAAAAGAAAACTAATACAGCAATCAAATGTAAAATTGATAAACTACAATATAATAAATGTTTTCTTTTGGGTTTAATACTGCTTTGATACACTGTAAGATGTATAATATATATATGGACACATATCTCTGTCATAAAATGTCAGTAATATTAGCACAAATAAACTACTATACCATAATTACCATCAGTACTTGCTGTAGGAAGCGCAAAAGAGCAACTGTATTTACATTATCTAGTTAGGAAGGGATGGCTGAAGATAGTAAACTATCAATGTAGTTAATGGTCTTTAATTAGATAAATCTTGTATTACGTTTGACCACATGCATGAAGTAGTCAGCATACAGTGCCCATTAAATGTCAATTAGTATGTTAGTTCCAGCATTAAACCTATGGGTATTAGTGAGTACATTCCAGTAAAGTGTGGGCTGAGCATTTACTGCTGTGTGGTTTCATAAACATTAATTATGAGCAACTATGTTTCGTCTTATCCATCACTTTCACATGCACATAAATAACAAGATGACAAGTAGTAATGAATGCAACTAGAAAGTAAGTATTCAATGGAATTTAACCTTCAAATTATTTCAATTATATTTTATCATTGAGATCTGAAGCTTGCTGCTGCAGTTTAAAGTGCTATTAAACCCACAACAGTAAAATCAGTCTGTACATGCAGTAACGCATCTTTGTTATACTCACTGTGAAACCCAAGGGGTTAATCCTTTCCATTGTGTAAAAAGGATGTAGGATCCTGTCTTCTCTGATCTTCCCCTTTTTCTACTGTCCCCAATCCACCTTCTGATAGAACAGAGCCTTGGGGGCAAGTTGCACATGCTCAGTTTGGTGTGTATTGACAGTTTTTTTTATTGGGAGAGCGCATGTGATCCACACAGGGCTAATCAGCACTGTCCAGACAGAGGTAAAGGGTTCTGCATCCTCCTAGAGAAAACTCATCCTACAAGCTTTAGCCAGTGCTCTGCTGGACACTGATAGAACCTCTGGCGTTCTATACCATCTAGTGAGAAGTTTCTATCCCCCCTCCTGGTATCTACTGGCCAGGGAGGCCTTGTGGGAAAAAGGATGACTCTGTCTTTCTGCTTTTGAGAACAAGTAATGTTCAGGTCCCTTTCCCAGCATTGTAAAAATGGGAGTTCCATTAGAGCTTCAGATGATATCAAGGAGGTATAAAAGTGAGAGAGCGAGTGACGTAAGGGTTCACCAGTCATACATATATTCTCGAATGGAGACAGCTCCCTTAATTGAATGGACTCATTTGGTAAAGAGTGTAAGAACGCCCCAAGTTGTACTCTCCTTAGAAAGTCTAAACTCGAAGAGAAGGTCTGTTTAATCTCCTGGGACATCATAAGATGACCATTCCTGGAGAAATGAATTAAGCGGAATAATTCGCTCTTGGAGAGTGCTGTAAAATAGGGGTCTTGGAGTCCCAGCTGGAAACCCCATTGCTCCTATGATGGGCATAAGAGTGCTTGGATGCCGGGAGATACTAGTGTCTTTAAAAATGGTCTTGATCATTTGTAGTGTTGCTCCTATCAAAGGATGCTGTCTGATTGATAACGGCAGGGAGGACCATGGTTGCCAAGGAAGGCCGGCCAAGAGTAAGTCAACTGTGGTTTGTTCCAGATGCACCCACAAGTGAGTGAACCACTCTAGCAAGATGTGCCGCTTCATACTTCACAGGGTCCGGGAATCCCGCTCCTCCTCTGGCTTTGGGCAAGGTCAGGATAGTCCTCTGAAGTCATGCTGGTTTGCCTGCCCAAACGAATTTAAAAAAAGTAGACCTCAACCTTGGCAGGAAACTGGGTGGTAGTCGTATCGGGAGGGCTTGAAGCAAATAGTTAAGCCTTGGCATGATGTTCATCTTCAAAATATTTATACGCCCGAACCAGGTGAAGACCGCTTTGTCCCAGCATAGTAGTTCTGAATTAATTGCTTTAACTAATGGGGCGAAGTTGAGTTCAAATGTTCGACGTATATCCCTAGGAATATTCGTTCCCAGGTATCTAATATGAGAGGAAGTCCACGTAAAGTGGGACTGATATGCAATTTGTTGCTGGAAAGAGTGTAGAAATACCCAAGGCCTCTGATTTGGAATAGCTTATCTTAAAGTTTGAGAGAGATTTGTGACATCGAAGTTCTTGCATCATGGGCGGTAATGAAGAGACTGGTGCCGTCACAAAGAAGATCAATTCTTCAGCATAAGCGGCCAGTTTATGTTCCTTACCCTTGGCTGTGATACCCTAATATCCGATCAAGCCCTGATCATCCTTCACCGTATGTTCCCTCAGGTTGCAGATCTCTGTTGGCGATGAAAAGAATCTGTGGGGTCTTTACTCCACATTTTCTGGGAGTATTCTAAACTGAGAGATTTCTGGACTATGGTGGAACAGACGATCACACATTAATAAGTGTATCCCTTGGAGCCTTCCCCCTTCGTGACACACTTCTGTCAAACAAACGTTATAACTACTCTCTCTTAAAACATATCCTCAACGCCGTGAAAGCATGC